TCATGATGATGTTCTGAAAGTCTTTGAAAGATGAAGAGTTGATTTGGAAAGTCTTTTTCCCATGGGGACAGCCCAGTAGTGGAGCTGAGGACCAGGGAGGTTGGGCCATCTCCATCCTTGCAGGGTTTCATGCCCTGACTTTGTAAGGCCCTGAGCAGCTGAATGTGATTCCATAGCTCAGCTTTCCCTTGGAATGGATTGGGACTGGAAACCCAGCTCCCCACCAGACCAACCCCAGTCCTGGAATCCTGTGATTTTCAGGGGTACAACCATTTGACTCAAGTTTGTGGTGTCAGATCATGTAATCCTGACGAATGGCAGTCTGGGAGGTAGTTGTGATTCTTGTTCACGGTAGTGACTCCGTCAGTTGTCAAGTCAGATGCTGTATAGGTATGTGAAGGCTTGAACAGCAGCAAACTTATGCATGGTACCACATGTCTCTGGTCTTTTATCCTCCCCCATACCCAGATCATGGACTATCAAAGAACAAGAGTGTATTTACATGCTAGTGAATGATTAAATTAGTGTCTGTCAGCTGAGATTAACTGAGTGCAAAGGCTGCTGCCTAGCTTGTAGCAAATGAAGAGTGAAGTGTGTTCATTGAAACCATGGAGGAAGTTTGTTTGATTGGTAAAAAAACCTATGGAGAATCTGCTTATTTCTAAGACATGGCTTAAGAAAGTATTCTTTTTTTTTAGGTTCTGCCTCTATTTGATATTTGATAAAGGCCTTTAATATTAAGCTAATGCAGAGAGCCTTAAGATCAAAATTCCTTATAAAGGAAAGTGTGCGGCATAAGGGAGGTATAGCATAACTTACTTTTTAAAAACAGTATCCTCTTTTATGAGCTGAAAAATGACTACAGAGGTGAGCAATACTAAAAATCCCTCAGTAAGCTGGTGAATAGCAGTGCAACTTCCTTGGCTTTTTTGGGGTGTGTGTTCTTCTTGCTCCTGCTTGTCAAAGCCAAGGTGGTGCCAAGAGAGCATCTTGACATTCACTGGATGGCAAACAATCGGCTTTTTTCCCTCTTCTCTGCTTTATGAAGCCAAGAGTGATGTACCATGGCAGCACCTTTCTTCTAGCGTACAGCAGGGGAAATGGATATTTTTTTCTTACCAGCAGCAGGCCACAGCAGTCAGTTTTACTTAACTTGCTGCAGTGAGGACTGACTGAACTCATATATTCACTGGGATTGACCCCAGAAATATAAATGCGGGAAACAATTCAATATAAAATATACCAGCTTTGTGACTCATCCTTTTATGCCATCTTCTAAAACAAAGAGCGATTCGAGATGAAGAATTTGAAAATCCTGGTGGGAGCCATGTTGAATCATAATAAATTACACATAAGCTGTACCAGGGTTACATGAGTATCTACCAGGTAAGAGTAAAGGCTGTTCATCCATGGGACGATAAATTATCAAGTCACTGACTGTTGGAGCAGTCAGCACCAAAAAGAGCAGAGTAGAAGATATGCACACTGTAGTTGTGAGGTGTACATGAAAGCCATTCTGTGGAAGTGGTATATGCAGATGAGCTTTTGCTCTGTAGCAAATAAGTACTTCTCAGATCTGTGTGGAAGAATTTTTTCAAGAAAAGCACATTGACAGTAAAATTTGGGAGGCAGATTTCTGAGTGGGACTTATATTTGAGAGCTACATAAATGACATTGTTGAAAATTTAATTTTTATATCACGTGTATATTATGGGGTTTTATTTGCTACAGAGCAAAAGTTCACCTGTACAGCCTTGCTTACAACTTCTAGCTTAGGAAGTGTATATATACTTTTTAAATGTTCACAGAATTATTTGGTGGGAAAATTGAATGCCAAGCCAGCTAGACAGACTATGAGTCTGGCTTATGTCTTTCTTCACCACACTGGAAGAAAAGCCTGCAATTTTTAAACTCAGGACTCGTGTTGTTAATTAATGATCTTGTGCAGATGAGGACAAAGATTGATTTAAAGTGTCTTAGCATGTCTTAGTTTCTGTGGCTTTCCAAAAATGTGTCTTACTCCCTCTTTAGAAGAACATTGCTCCAGTGTCTCTTTTAATTCAATGTTCTGCTTATAAATTAATTCATATAATTTATTCCTATAATTATCATGGTTCTCTTGCACTTTGCAAGGCTATTTGCATCCAATCGAATCAGGAGAGTGCTTTATGATTACTGACACTGGTAAGAGACTCGCATGGTTCACAGGCCATTCTCAGGTTTGTGTCTTTCATCCTGAGAATGAGATGCTACTCTGCTTAAAGTGCAGATTTACATAGGTTGATAATTGTCATGCAGAATATGATTTTTTTGCTTTCTTAACTGCTTTAAGTGAAGAGTTAGGTAAATTGGTTCTCATATTCAGCTTTCAATGATTCTTTGCTTTCTCAAGATCATTGAGAACCCGCTGAATATATTCGTAGCATCTACTGCTTAAAACACTTTGTGAGAATCAATCTGTAAAAATTGTGATTGATACGTAGTAAACATAAAGCTAAGTCTGACTTTCAGATTATGATAATTAGTGAACTGCTTATCTCTATAACTGAACATTTCTTTACTGAGTTTCTTACTATGCTATGAAAAAGAATTATTTGAAACACTATCAATCTTTAAATCTTGTATTCAGAAAGTGACCACATTGAAAATGAAAAAGTAGTAGTAAAGGCAGATTGCTGTGCAAGATCTGAAAAATATTCTTCACTTTGTGAATCTTTTTAGTAAATTTTAACAGGAGAAAATGTCAAAGGCTATCATCTGGTAGGCCTCAGTAATCCCGATTCAAATTTCTGTGTTCCCCAAGCTAAACTGTCCAAGCTTTGTTGGGTGCATCTGCTACCAATTTGACACTTCATTTAGCCACATGTCCGCAGTAGTTTTACACTGCAACAATTGCTGTGTAAAATTAATCCTCTCTGATAATCATAATTTCAATAATTATATGCGTAGTTTGCAGAAGCAGAGAATGCCTATTAGAACAATATTAAAGTTCACCCCCTGCAGGGTGAACCTTCCCACTGCAGCTCAGGAAGGACATCCAGATGAAGGTCCGTATACAGAGCAGCATTGTATTTTTAGCATTCTTATAGCTGATGGAATTTTCAAATTAATGTGATTTGATTTTTTAAAGGGATGTGTTGTGTCTTACCATGAAAAGAAACAAGCGTGCTGAATGGCTACATATTGTGCCATACAGTAGGACTCTTTCAAGAGTACCAAGGGCCTAAACCATGGGATGTGCAGAATCTGACTGTCAAGCCTGCCCTTCATTCTTCCTACCCAGAGTAGAGGAAGACAGAGGAAATGTCATGTGAAATTCACCATCCAGTGTGTATTTTATTATGTGAAAGAGCGATTTCATTCTGTATTGGAAAACGTAGTTGCATTTTTTTGGTATCATCAGGACTGGTTTTCACCTGTGCTTTGATCTTCCAGTACTCTGGTAGATCCCCTGATGCTTGTCTTCTGTGACAGATGAATTCAGTAGAACTTGAACTGTGAAATAGATTTCCATCATAGATAATATATTCTGTAGAATCAACCTTGTGTTAATTTAAACTGCTTGAAAGATATGTGTGTCAAGCTATGTTTGCTAAGCTATGTAATAGATGGTAACAGAACTTGTAGCAGGTGGAGGGAATCTCATTCTAGGTTGAGGGCTACACAGGCTTTAAGAAGAAGTGATGAGGATTGAAGGACAAGTTTGTATTGATATGTACTTTTCTCCTTTTTAATACTTTTTTCTTTAATTTAGACACTGTAAGCAGCAATGAATTCAAGAACTTTGACTTCCCTCTGGGGCCCTTTTGGTAGTAGCAATTTCTGCATTGCTAAAATGCAATATTTTGGTGATCGTATGTTACTAACAAGCACTGATACATTTAAAAAATGGTATTTTAAATTTAGACTGTAAAACTGCTCCAGTTTTAGATCATAGAATCATAGAATCATAGAATAGTTAGGGTTGGAAAGGACCTTAAGATCATCTAGTTCCAACCCCCTGCCATGGGCAGGGACACCTTACGCTAAATCATACCACCCAAGGGCTCGTCCAACCTGGCCTTGAACACTGCCAGGGTTGGAGCATTCACAACCTCCCTGATACCTGTATACAGAACGAATGGCTGTGTTTCGTTTAATTTCCTATTCTCATGACGTACAAGACTGTCTGTCATGTTTTACTTTGCTAATAACAATTTCTTGCTGTAAAGCAGGTTTCTGTTATATTATTTTGTTATAGTACTGGTTTAGGAATGCAGCAAAAAGTAGAAAATTTTAAAAGCAAGTCCTTTTATGAATATTTATTATTTAGTGTGTTTGTTAACATCAAATTGTGTTCTCCTCTTGATTTATTAAGTGCATGTATCATGAAAAGAACACTCTTCGAAGTCTACAGGTTTTGGATTTTGTTAATTTTTAGGTCACATAATCTTCATTTCGCAACGACAATTCTCACAGACTAGGAACACAAAGCCTATATTGTATTAAAATTGACAGTCCTACCTTCAATGCAGTCCTGAGTCTGTGAAAGCAATGTAGGCCTTTCTGCTTTAAGGAAAGTGTAAAGAAACAGGACTTATCACTGCAAGCGCCATTAGTTGCCTAATCCATTAGATCTTTCTGCTCAATGCTTCAGAAGAAACTACTTCTGCTTTGCTGATTATGCAATATTATGTTTGGGGGATGGAGGGAGAAGGAATGAAAAGGTACCCTTGTAGAGGTGTTTACAACTTGAGTGTTTACCTGAATGTCTCTCTTGTCCTTATTCAGTCATCTATGAGTTCCTCTTATTAGGATCATTGCATCCTTCACAATGTTTCTGCTCCTGCACAAAATGGGTTACATACAGTGTTTCTTCAATAATGCCTTCATGTAGAAAATCAGGGAAATGACCTTTAAAGAACAAAGTTAAGTATTAATCTAATACTGAAGGAGTGTATTAAAGGTTGTGAGATACTTTCAAAACAAATTAATGAAACATTTCTTTCATTTCTTTATAGATTCTGGACAACCAGGAAGTCCAAGCCACAATGATCCTGCCAAGAATCCACCAGGTAAATATAAGTTCCAGAACATGTGCATCTAACATTGTTTGAGAACAAAGATACTACTGTTAATAGTTAAAAAGAGCATATTGGTCAGCAACCTATTTTGCACGCATAAGTACATATAATCAGGACAAGCTGTGATTACTTTAGTACTTTCAAGCTGGCAATGACACAATTGCGGTTTCATCAACATTTGTTTAATCTAAGGAATTCTTTTTTTCATTTCATGGTTTTTACAATTTTGTAAGTAAGAATGGGCAGAGGAGTAAGGAAACAATATCCCAAATTACTTTTATAAAAGTCTTCAAATGCTATAATTTTTATTTTATCTTGGACAAAACACAACTGACCTACCTCTAAAGTCTGAGATGTGAAGTTCTTTATTTTATACATACACTGTAAAATGCAAATATGTTCATTTATTATATTTTTCATATCAGCTTAGAAGAGTTTTTGAACACATTGTTAGTGGGTCATGCTAGTGACATTTGAAACTTTTGGGGAGAGATGTCAGTATAAACAGTCCTTTCAACGGTTCTCTAAAAATAAAAAATAAAGAGGAAATAAAAAACATGCCACACTGTTTAGACCAGAGATTTTTTGTATTTCATGGAGTTGTCCTTCTAATCAATTGGGCTGTGCTAGTAAATCTTGTAAATCTTTGTTGTTTCAAGTGTTGTCGGGGTAAGATAAACAAGTCTGACAGCCATACTATCACTTCTCAATGAGCAAGGCGTGACTCCTGCCATCACCATCATGCTGCATCTTCTGATTTTATTTCTCAGAAGTGGTTCTCTTGAAATAAGCTGCAACTAATTCAGTTTGCTCTTTTCCTAAATGCAAAATGAACCCCACTCTGACCATGAAATAATTGTGTAATGCTGGACTGATACTTTCTGGATCTGTCAAAAAATTAAGGGAAACAGCCTGCATTGTGACTGTACAGTTTTGTACTATGCATATGATCAAAATGTCATCATACTTTGTATCGTCAAACATCATGTGTGTTACATGTGAATACACGAAAGTGGGAGAACCATCTTAGATCATTATACAAAAAGTTGTATTTCTGTAATATAAAAGCCAGAAACATATAATGGAAGATGCAGATATGTTTTTGGAAGATGCAGATATGTTTTTGGCTATAGGCTTCCAAGCTCTTTCCAAACCGTGTGGGATGAGTAAGCTTTTATTTCTCTATTAAATTTGTGATATATATTGTTTAGGATAGAGGTTTAAAAATGCACAATGGTAAATTTACACCTAAGCAAAGCCTGCAAAATTTCCTCACAGATAATCACAGTTTTGTAAAATTTGGAGCATTTAGCTATAGAGCATTTATTTTTGTTTTAGAATATCTCTGTTTGTGAGTGCGAGGAAAGCCAAATACATTACCCCTTATCATTTTGAAAGATCCTTTGTAGTCTCTGGGTTTGGGAAGCTGAAGGCATGTTTTAAAATTCTGTTTCTAAAATACCAATTAGCATTTGGAGGATGAAGGTGGAAGGACGTATTCACTGCTGAGGATTACATTCTGTAATGAGCCCACTCTTAACCCCAAACTACTTGACTGAGGTCCAGTATTACTGCCAGAAACAGAGCTCTATTTTGGCAGCCTTGTGGGGCAAGACAAGATGCCCTTATATTTAACAAACTCCAGTGTCCCAGAAGATAGAGGGATATAAAGGGCAGAGAAATCCATTTGCTGATTTCATTCTGAAACTTTCTACTTGAAATTTGAGCATAATGCTTTCTCATGCTTTGGAGTTTCTTCTGGTAGTAGTACTCCTTTATCTGCTGCCAAGTGGGGACAGAAAATGGAAGCTGTGCTTTGCTTCCCTTGAAACCCTTCATTTAAGCAGAGACATAATTGAATGTCATCTGTATATTTGAGGATACATGAACTTCTAGCATCATTTAGCTTTCCTGTGTAATACTGTCTTGGGGTTAGACTGGCAGGGAGAACGTGTTGAGGTTTGTGGAACTGCAGGATACAGGACTTCTAGGCTGTGCAGGAGAACGAGAGGGAGTTGTGCTCCATTCAGCTTGTCTGGGAAAAGGACTGCTGTCCTGTTCTTTCTTATTAAACTTCACATGAGTCTTATTAGAACCAGGCAGTCACTTCTGTCAGAGCCTCAGAGGATACCCACTCTGAGGTTTGTTTTCAGTCCCAGTCCAGGAGCACTTTGACTGGCAGCGCCAGGAGGGTTTGTTCTATCCTGTTTTGGTCTCATGCCTGTATGTCAAGGAGCCAGAGCGTTGGCAAGGGATAGGTGCTGTTAGCTTTTGTATGCCACTACCTTCTCAAAGACATTGCCAAGGAAGAGGGCTTTGGAAACTGAGTTGGCAAAATTGCTGGTGTTAAAAGTGGGTTTTTCTAGGTTTGGCTAGGCTGTTGCATTCTTTAGGTTGTCTGGTAATTTGCTGTCTTAACCATGGAGAGAGGGCAATGTCACTTGCCAAACAAAAGAATATTAAGAGTACTTGCTGGAATTCTTTACAATATGTTCCTAAAAATACACTGAATACTTTGATAACATAACACAGTACTAAGATGTGGTGAAAGCGGTATGTAGTTCTTATATCAAAATCCAGGGATATCCATCTCTTAAGTTTTATTTTTCAATAACTTTCATCTGGTATATTTCTAAAGAATGAAACTTGCTTTTCTGAGAGCTGGGTTGTAAAGGTCACTTCTCTGCAGGGATAGCTATGTAAATTCCAGACAGATAGATGAGCTGAGCTGAACTGAACTTACATGAGTTCGAACACTGCTGTTGTCCGCATCACTCATTAAGTTCCTGGAATCTAAAAGTTTATGTTATGCTAGCACAGTGTTATTTATTAAAAGTTTACATGGTTTCAAAGAGGGAATGGATGTGTTTGTGGATCCATTGAGGGTGACTAAACAGACAGAGGCTCACCTGCATGGTAAGTTCTAAAAACTAAAATACTTGCAGCCTTGCACACTATCAGTCAAAAAATCCAACCAACAAACACTTCTGGCCTGCTCTGCTTTTTACTATTCTGCTGGTCATCTGCTCGGGGCTACTGCTGAAGTCAGGCTTTTGAAGTGTGGCGGTTTCAGTGTAATGTTGCATTATTTGCTTCCTGCAAGTCCTGTAGGTCTTTTATGTAGCTAAAGAAAATGTAAAAAATAAGCCTACCTGAACATGTGTGTCTTGAAATACCTGCAAAGGTGCAGGAGGATATGTACTAGAATGAGTGATCTTTCAGTAAGTTCATCTGTTAGGCATAAGAAAATTATGAAGGTGAGTAGAAAAACATCTAGAACTACTAGTAAGCTAATGAAACTGACAGCAGCCATAACAATTTGTTCTCCAGTGGTACAACTGTTACAAGCCAGTTCTTCTAGTAGACGATTTTCTAGGTTTTGTTCTGCTTTATTTTTTTTTCCCTTAGTTACTGCCTACTGGCCACAATTGTTTTATATTAATAAAGTTAGTTACTATCTGCCGTTGGTATGAGGTTGCAGCTTGGCAGACTTTATTTATTTATATTAACAATATAAATTAACAGTATTAACAATGCTAAACAACTATTTAACACCAGTTGTTTGGCTGGTCAAAGGAATATTTTCATATAAACTTGCAAACTCTATAACAATCAGTCAGAGCTGAATGAGGATTGAAGATGTCTCTGTTTTGAGCCTTTGTGCTGACGACTATTTCCTTATTTCTATGGGGTGACACATTTTTAGACAGAGAGGCTGAGAAACTATCTCTTCACCTTTCATTCATTCTCACTGTTTTCTTTCTTTTTTTCCCCCACAGTAACCTGTGAGATGTTGTCAGGGAATCCATCTAGTGAGAAAATCCTTAATCTGAATGAGGCATAGGTGTGTGAATCCCCATCCCCAGCTGCACTGCTCTGGAATTGGTTTTACCCTTCTGTTTTAATCAGAAATTTTATTCTGGGAACCATTTCCAAAGAAGGTTTGAGTGAAATCACCATCTATTAATTTTTATTTTCTTTTCCTAATTAAAGAAGGTGTTGCCAAAAAGCTTGCAACCAGCCTCACCTGTCTCTAAATATGCAAATCTTTCTTGCAGCTGTAGAGCCCCAAAGGCTTTTTTGTGCTTTCATATGGGCTAGCAGCCATAAGGAGAACATTCTTTTTTGGATCAAACTCTAAGTAATGTGCAATAAATTTGCCTATATATGACTGATTTAGATAGAGGTATTTCAGTTTGCAGAATGTATAGTTTCAGAAATAATCTCTGAAGAGTAACGTGTTCTCAACCTTTGCTGTCTTTTGGAAATGCAATAAGCAAATGACTAAGTTTTGAATGACTCAGAACACAGATGGTTTCATTATTTTACTGTATTGCCAGTTATCCTCTTGTGGATGGGGAATTAGCCCCCTAATTAATAGGAATTGAAGAGATATTTCCTGTCCTTGTCGTTCTAAGTGGCTTTTCTTCTGGAAGCAATGATGCCATACCAGCAGTTTGGGGATTCAGACAGAATTGTGTTTGAACAAACATATATTCACATTGCCTTTTCAGCATGGGAGTGGATATTCTCAAATGCTTGCTGTTTACCATATGCCTGCAGCCATGCCATCTCAGATAGTGATCTTCAAATAAAACAGGGTTGGGTTTGGTCAGGGCTTGATTTTCTGTGGAGTTCTCCCTTTCCCAAATGCTCTATGAATTAGTAATGCCAGTGATTGAGAGGTGATGCTCTTCCTTGTCAGCCTCTCAGCCCTGAGCCAGGTGGGGCATTCTGAGGGCAGTGTGCAGCTGTGCTATCTCAACAATCAGAAGCCTGTACAGATCATACAGCCTCTTTTTCCAAGAGGAAGAGTTTTTGGCATTGTGTACTGGTTTGAAATCTGGTGTGGGTAATTGCTACTGGCTTAGCATTACCTCTGAATTTTCATTTGCATTAGCTATCCTTCCATGTGAACTTAAAGTACAAATAAATTATTCTGTGATTACTTCTGATGTCATGTTTTCTTCTGATGCCATTGTGTTCAATGG